AGTATTGATTTTTCAACAAGCATTAAATTCAGTGAAAATTCATCAGCAAATGCGCCAAAAATAACTGGAATATGTCGGATTATGCTAAAAACTAAGCCGATCTTTGCCCAGTACACATGCCACACGGGATGGAAAAGGAAAGAACTGCAAATAACAGGAATTGGGGCCAATTTTAGTTGGTGAGCGGATTATGTCGCCCACCATTGGAAAGCGCGTACGTCACTAATTTGACAAATATGCCCGTTCGGAGCAGCAACATCAACACACATTCGTCAGTGTTGCATGACACAGCGCGCCGGTAAAATTAAAAAGCTCCTCGCCTAATATTTTCGTTCATTACAGTTGCTAGCAGCCAAATTAATTCTCTGCGCATCGCCCCCCTCCCCCCCTTTCCCTTCCACTCCTCCCACTCGCAGAAAAAGTAGAAAATTAGAGAGTTTTATTTAATTTTTATTTTCGGGGAAAAACTTGCCTCACATTTTTCTTCCAGCGAAAGGCAAAAGTTCACATGCTTTTCGAACAGCTCTGCGCCGCCAGTGAATGCCGCTACTCTCAATTTCATCTTTGGTCTTTAAATGCGCCAAACATTCGCGCTGTAAATTCTGATCCGTTACAAATGGCGATACTTCCAGCGCCTAAAAAGTAACATCCCATAATTTTTCAGAAAGAAAAAATATCCAAAACTTTAAAAAAGAAAAAAACATCACTGGAAAGTATCCAAACGCTGTAAATGTAGAAGATGAACAAATAACAAGGCTGCTTCCAAATAGTGCAAAACTTCCGGAACCAAGTGCAATATCCGGCAAAATGTTGAGCTAATGACTTACTCCTGCTTAACAAAAACTTCTACTACATAAATGAGCCGGGACGCATAGTTTGATTCTTCAGCTTGGCAACTAGCAGCTTTTTGGCCAATACTGCACAGCCTTTACTGAGGAACTGTTAGCGATTCTGACGTTTGTTTCGCCTTTGGAAAATCTCCTAACAGAAGCAAACTGGAATTTTTTTTTTTGTGTGTAATGAATATTATCCCAGCCACTGATATATTGTGATCCTTGAACTACGTACGGTGACTTCAGGCGAGTATGAAATCCTTGTTCATCACAATTTTTTGCTGATTGAGGACATTTTGTAGAAAAAGAGGTAACAGAGTTCATTTTGCTGTGCCTGAACAGGCTGAAGACACATGGCAAGTGAGGGAGGCCAAAAGACTTGCTAAAGATGCAAAAATGCGAAAATATAACAGCTGAAAAGAGTTCCGAAGAACAAAAGTCCTGCATAAAGTCAGCGAAAACTTCGGAAAGACAACTTTTGCATAAAATCAGATTTGGTGCCAAGCCCATTAGAGTAAAGCTGAGGTCCGTCTTGTACATATATAAAGTACGCCAAGCTCTCATGAGTAAATTTCAACAAAAAATCACATTCCTGTGGGCGTGCAATAGTTCACTCATGGATATTGGGAAGGTATGCAGAAAACAGCAGTAAACATGATTTTTTTTAAAAAGGAAAGGCGATTTCCAAAAGGTTTCTCACTGTCGAAGCAATGAATAAACACAATAACGATGGTCTGCTGGTATTAGTAATGCAAAAAAATTCAAGAAAAGGAGGACGAATTTTGAAGAAGCAAAAACTATTCACAGAGAGAAGGTGCCATTAAAAAGACACGCGTTGCCCTTAGCTAATGGTAAAGAGCACAGAGGGAACAGAGTGAGAAACGGCAAACTAAATTCATGTGAACGCTTGAATTCATAAACGGCACAGGCGCACACCCTACCTCTTTTTCTCTTTTAGAAATTAAACACAACTACAGACATTTTAAAAAAGAAAATCAGAAAATACTTCTTTAACGCTGCTGTGAAAAGAGTGTACAGAAAGTTGTCGGGATGGGCATGGGAATTTCAAAAATGCCGGTGCTGATCAGCAGATAATTTATGAGAACCGGATAGAAAAGGGGTCACTGAATCAATCAACGGATAAGTGGCGTGGTGCCACAAACCAAAACAGCGGTACGGAAAATGAAAATCGGGAAAAAACCAGAGCAGATGCAGACCTCCGGTAGCATGACGCATCATCTCTCAGTGAATGCCGATAATCCTGCTGAACGAGTAAAAATTGAAATGAAAAAAAAAACGATAGAATTAAATGGAAAACTCAAAGTCTCCAAATCTCAAAAAAAAAAAAAAAAACCAAAAAAAAATCTCCAAAAACGAGCAGTTAGTTTTTCAAAGTCGAGCAGTTAGTTTTTCCTAACAATTGGGACTTAAAAACGACGAAATTCCTTTTTTTGCCTGTACCAGCTCCCTTTTTTTGCCTTTTTTTGCGATGAAATTCCTTTTTTTTTACCTGACCTCTTGTTCCAGCTCTGTAATAAAAGACCTGCGCAAAAAAAAAATCCCCGCTTTGTGATCACTGATGAACGACACTGGAGATAAAAGGCAAAAATCAGTGAAATTTTTTTTTTAAATTTTGCCATAATTATTAAAAAACGAACGTCAGGATCGCCAACTGGAGCAGACTGTAAAAAATGCCATGCAGCATTGGAGAAGACTGTAAAAAATTTGCCAGCTGCACAGCTGGAGGAGCAGGCGACTACGGGCTGTAGATGATTCAAATATGCAATTACTGAAGCAGGTAATCCCTATGAAGTTATGTTTATCCAATCTGTTTGTTCAGCCACAGCTCTGCTATGCTTCTCTGCTAACAAAGTACTTTGCTATTTTTTTCATATTTCAAAAAATTGATTCGCCATGCTCTGAATTCGCTACTCAGTGATGCTTGCTAGCTGCGAAAGGGGGTAGAAATCGTTAAGAAAAAACCTGTAAAACGAATGTTCTCCAGACGGCAAGCTGCAGTGCATTCGGTCCATCATCTACCCGCTTCCTTGCGCTCGAATCGTAACGCATAAAATCAACAATAAAAACAACAATGTAATCAAATAAACCATAGTCACCGTCACGTTGCGGAGTTTGGTCCAACACCTAAAAGCTTCCTGAAGTAAACATGACTACACAAGGAAGCATTACCAAGCAAACATACATCAAGTAAACATAAATGCTTAAGTAAACATTTATCAGTGTCATATATTTCATTGTAATCTCTAAAACTGCGGTAACTACGCATTTTTCTAAAACTGTGAATTGAAATTTCCTGACAAAACTAAGCCGAAGCTAAGAAACAAATCTTAAACTTCCAGTACAACTATCCCCACCAAAACAGAGCCTAAAATGGAAAAAAAAAATTGATATTCAGTTGAATGAAAAGAGAAAAACCAAAGTACCAGAGAAGAAAAAAAAAATCTTGCTGATTGTAAGAAATAACAAAATTCGCATCATGCTGAGAATAAGTTCGTTATCATCTCAGCCGACTTACTTTACTCAACCCATTCAAAAATGCGATGCTTTTAATGCCTAACAAAAAAGAAATGGCTGTACTTTTTGGTAAAAACTTTTAAATATGTACTAAGAATATCAAGATCGCCGGACAAATAATCAGGGTATCCCATATTAGTGATTCTGACAGTAGGTTCCCACAACCTGGATACTGTTACTCTGACTCGTTACATACTATTTTAAACTGTGATTTCAATTAAATCAGTAAGATTTTCCTTACAATTAAAAAACTTAGCTAAAAAAATGTTACCGCTGTACGCCGCGGTGGTAAATATTCGATTCGAGAAAAGTGATGAAAAACATCTTTTGCTGGATGGCGAAAATAACGATCGTGTATTATGGAACCAACTGATGCAATGACACGTGATTCACCGCTGCCCGTGACAACTGAGATACGCCGATCAAGCACAACCCGTGTTAAACCAATTGCAATGATAAGTACGATAAAGGAATGAATCAGTGACAGAACCTGAAAGCCAAAGAGATTAAACAGTTGTAAAATAACTGCAGTAAAATTTTTTAAGTTGCAAAAAACTGAAAGAAATTGAACTATCAGCAAATATTTCTCACCAAAAATGGACTAAATGTACAACAATTCTTTCAGATGACGAAAAGCAAAATAATAGAAAAAAAAGGGGGACAAAAGGTGTGCGCACACAAGCACTTATTCAACAGAAAAAATCGAAAGAAGCGAAATGCAAGGGGCAAAAATGGCAGGAAAAAAAAACACTTCACAATTTTACAATAACACCATCAAAGCCAAAAAAAAGCCGATGTGATGAATCAGGCAGTACATGCCAGGCGATGATAAAACGTTACGGGCTAGAAAAGCGCGCCCAACAGCCGCCAATTCAATAAAATAAATACAACGTATTACTCAGAGGGACTGTTCCCACTTATCGTCAAAACATCCCTGTGGCATAAATATATTCAGCAGTATTGTTCCCAAAAAAAAAACTTGATTTTTTAGATTAAATTAAACGTGTTTTCAAAAACATAAACCAATTTCAATCCTCATTAGATGGGAACAATTTTTTGCGCACTGAAAAGTTTTTGACAATGCGTATTTTGGACAAAAAAACCTCAGGTCCTTTCACTGAAAAAAATAAAATTCAGCTGACGGGCATCTTTTTTTAAAAATCAAATTTGTAGCATGCGCATAATGTCCAGTTTGATAAATTAAGTAGAATTCGAGCGAGATGTCCCCCAGATGTATACTGATATGAATTCTATTTGCTATCCTGCCGAAGTCAGAGTTTTTTTTTTAAATAAGAAACGGACTGCCAAAGTTTCACCTTCTTAAATCACATTCATCCCAAATGACTGCGGAATTTCACAAACGGCACTAAAAAAAAAAAAAAAA